GTTCACACACTTTCTTCCAGTTGTCAGCTGTAATTTTTTCAAATTCTTCATTTGCCAGCTTTCTAAATAACATCTTCCATTTTAAATGTAACATTTCTTTGCTGCTATGCAATTTAAATAAATAAAAAGGCGGTTTATTTATGTTGTAAAGTCTCAAATTTGATAATTTTCTGTGTGATTTGTGCTAACAATTTGATTGACAGTTATAATAAATAATGCGAATCTTGCCTTCCATGCTCAGGGTACCTCTATAAAGGATAGCGCTATACGTAATTAATGTGCCGAAAGTGATGGTAATAGATGGTACGTCCTTTTGAACTATGTTGGGGTATGGCTGTATCTATGTATTTATATATCTATGATTAAAGCGCTAAAGTTTGCACAATTCGAATTCCTTAATATTCGTATTATTACAGTGATATGATATGATAGGAGGTACGTTGAGCCATAATTGTTTAATTTAACACTGGAGCTACTCATTCGTCGTAAGGAAGTTATTAAAAGCGGGTCCCTGTGGTCACAGATACACACGAACATAGGGCAGGTTCTTAAAGAATCGTGAAGGTTTTTTGAAGTTGGCGGAAACTATTTGCGGCTTTAAAGGTCTTGACAGATTGCTAACCGCAAAGGCATACTTACAAACTATGTATATCTCTGCCATCATTAACGTTACACTCTTTACCACGCCGATAAGATATAAGATAGGGAGGTTATTTTCGAAAAGTTGATAGTTTTCGAGTTGTAAGCACAAAACTGCTAAAAAAAATATCTTTTTCAACTTTTTTGTATTTTTTTGCGTTTGTTGCGTCATGAAATTTTGTTAGCAAACCTCAGATTCGGATTCAGCACCCCAAAAAACATATAGAATCAAATAAATCAAAACTATCCCACAACTTTCCTGGTAAAATACAATTAAACTGAATTATATGCACACTTTACCGCTTTAAATTTTTTGCAGCGACATCTAACGCATAAATCCATAAGCGTCATATTACAGTTTTAAACGGTACATGTTTATACTGCTCCGCAATAGAGGGCGCTTTTAAGTATACCTAAATTTGTTTCCCAAAAAATGCATAAGGTTACGCACGGTGTTGATACGGTCTAGTAGGCATAGTAACGGGCAATCAAAAATGAGTTGCTGTCGAGTCGCCTTTGGAAGTTCAAGTTAAATACGATTTTCCATGTAAACAAAAATTTCAAAGGCGACTCGACAGCATCTCATTTTTGATCGCATAGTAGTCCGTATCGTATATTTTCCGTGCCTGATACGTTCCTATTACGGTCATGATGGTACGGTGTAGTGAGCAGATACCTTTATGCCCACTTTGTCCGTCCGTCGTTCCGTCCCTGTGGCTGTGCCACTACTACATCTTTATCTCTTGTTCTACTTTTTTCGCTATTTGGTATCGAGGCTTGCCTCTCAGGGAGGAATTATTTCTGCTTTTATTCATGTACCATAATTTTTACTTGTCGTTTACTATATACTTATAAATTCTATATGCTAAAGATGCTTCTCATACAATCAAATTGAAATGTCTCAAAGAATAGGTTGTGCAAGCGCAGTACTAACTTACTTACTTATGGACCGATTTTTCTGAAATTTTAAAAGAAGTTAGGAATAAATTAAATCACATCAAAAAATAAATTGTACCGACGCAGGCTAAAAACACAGAAATCAATTATTGCGGATGCCCAGACCCACATTCGTGGACCAATCCTTCTGAAATTGTAGGGTAAGATTCTTTTTATAAAATGAAATTGAAGGAGCACACGTTAAAAATGGCGCATGTCCAACGCTAAGTTTCTTGTTTGTAGCCGAATTTTTACGAAATTTTAACAGAAGTTGCATCTTACAAATGGAAAATGAGTGCACATGTTAAAAAATGGACTACTTATGCGCAGACCTAACTTCCTCACATGTGTACCACTGTTTTCTAAATGTGACACAGAGTTGCCAACTTTTCGTTCACACATATCGCCAAAATGCTCTCTGGATATCGCCCAAAATCGCAAACGTTGGGATTTCTTAAGATCGCCCAAAATCGCAAGGTTGTCCAAATAAATTTCACAATAAAACGACAGAATAAAATTGAATTTATTTCATATTAAAAAATCCCATATTCACAGATATGCGCGCATGTAAATACTACGTCCTAATGAGACTAATGAGAATGAGAGAAATTAAATGTAAGAAGTTCACGTAAGCGTTTTCGAAATCGCCCAATTTCCGATATATCGCAAATGTTAAAAAATGGGAGCTTTTTTTGGATTTTGTATCGCCCATTTTGCGATAAATCGCCCAAGTTGGCAACCCTGATGTGACAGTAGATATTTTACAGTGTTGCCTAGCAGATTCTCCGATTACCTAAACAGCGTTATGTTTTTGTCGGTGCAAGTGGTTACAAATTAAACATTGATTAAAATTAAAACAGTGATTAGTTAAACAACGTTTATTGCAGAAACGGTGCAAACGGCCATAAGTGAAGATACTTCTCACTAAACGAATTGAAAACTACCTTTTTTTGTAGACGGATATTTCGAAAATTACAAAGGATGGTACTTATAAAAGTAAAAAGCGCATATATTACAAAAACAGATTGCGCATGCGCAAATTCAACTGTTTTATTTGTAGACCAATTTTTCTGAAATTTTAACAGAGCATAGGATGCTTCTTATTTGTGAAAATTGAAAACGTATGTCACAAAATGGATTGCCCGTACACAGAGCCAAGATCTTAGCGCTTTTCCATAAAAATAACGCAGTATTTCTGCAAAAAGATACGGAAAAATAATGATTTGTCATCATTTTGGTTAAATGGTTGAAAACGAACTTAGCTGGAGTTACTCATTTTTTCACAAAGACTCTGTTAATGTGAAAATGCGCTTTTTGTAAATCATTTACGATTACTTTTTTAACTGTGAGAGGTTCCACCCTGTATATACAACTTACGACGATACATACATTTATGAGAGTTGGCAACCATGCAATTTCTAGGTGGGGAAAGGCTGCTTGCGCCACCTAGAAAGCACGAATGTGGGTTACGTTTGGCATCACAGTTTGGCATCTTGTCTCGAATGGCGGTCGTGAACGCGTCGCTCCATAAATGTTTGTTGTTATTTTGTGTTATTTAATGCAGGTAGTAATTTTTATATATCGTATTTGTATTTTGTATGCCGCATTTTATATTTTTTATGTGTTTCTATCTTTGATTTTGAAATTTACTTGATTTAACCGCAATGCAGAATGACATGTTAAATACCGTTATGCTATATTGTTTGTAATTGTTTACGTTTTTGGTGTAATGCTTGCTTAATTTATGTTTATTGATGTTGATTAATTGGTCTTGTCCCTGAAGTTACATTCATATAAGTTTTGATCATTTTATTTTAATATGTGGAAATGTTTTTTGTTACTAACAATTTTCTCCGTGATTGAAGCAGTCACGGGGGTGGTAAAAACTGTAGTCAAAATTGTAGTACGACACCCAATTCCGTGATTGTCTTCGACATCCAACTGTAGGCTCGAAACCAGGGACGGGATACACATCTTGCCGGAGCGGGATTACGCTAATCAAAGCTTTTCATGTAATTTTCCATCTTGCTTTTAACAAAAGGACTTTATTGCACCAAAGATGAGTCACATCCTGTGACGTATTTCACCCTTTCACAGAATTTAGGTACCTGTTCCTACCTGACACATTGTTCCCAAAAACTTGCTTTTAACCTTGAGTGTAACCATCATTGTATATAAGCATTTACTATGTTTTTTAACTACTGCTTAAACTTTTACAAAATATTTTGGTCTTGGATTGTATTAATCAAACTGCGAGGTTTTTCTTACGTCGTACTCTTTTTACCCTTAGCAGTTACTTTTGCGAGAGTACGACACCTTTTGGCTTTGCTTGCTTTGTTTATATTAATTTACATCAACTAAATTTCCGGGATTTTACAATCATAATAATTACGATCATTATTAAACAAACTTTTCACAATTTCAGTGTTTTATTTAACGTTCCTTCCCTACTGTGCTTCAGGTCATAGCGTTGTTTTCAACTAACGTAAGGGGGCCCTGCTTTAGATGTTTTATCACGTGCCACTTGTCATATTTAAGCGGGATCTTGTTTAGTTTTGGACGGAATAGTCAATCGGGTGGCCATGTGTAAACGTTGCCGGGTTGACTTTATTTCCGTGTTCTTGTAGTGTGAAGTTAGCGTAGAACCTGGGGGTTAAGTACACTACAACTGGTTATTAATTTACTAGGCTGTTGTACCTACTGGAATTTTGGATTTTGTTTTATTACTTAAAATAAAATTAAAAATATAAGAATTTTTCTTTAATAAATTTTTTTTATCACCTACGTTTTTAGCAAATCTTAGTAATGACCCCGATACGATGACCTTAACCTGGAATGTTGTCTAGCAATTGGGTAAATCAATATTTTGTCTTAATTAGTTGAATGTACAACAATAGATCCATAGATACCCCAGACAGTATTACTGCAGTGCTCTTATACAATTTGCTCTAGGGTGATCCATTTGCACCAAAGTCGACGTGGTACTAAGGTTAGGTATTTTGTATTTTCTACATCTCCACTAAATATGACATTTAGTTAAATTAATTAATTTAAATTTTCTTCTCTGCAATTTTTCTTTCTTAACATTTTGCTCAAAATGCTTGGTTTTGAGTTATTAAGAAACATTTCAAAAAAGGTAGAGCGCACGTATTAGTGGTTTTGGGCTCATCGGTTGAACGCCTCGGCGCTGGGGTTTCCGAGGGTATTTATGAAGAGTTTGTTGCTTGTTAAAACTATATGGCGCGTCCTCACATATTAGCTATGCACGTGCTCAAAGTTTTCGTTAATTTACTCGAAAGTTAAAAAACAACACATACTCTGTTTTGGAATGTAACAGCCGAGACCGAATCACCCTGTATACGATATTAAAATGTAGTAAAAATATCACATTTGTATGACAAACGTTTCCTAACATCCGTACATACATGGCGAGCACATGCCGACATATATGTCAAACGGCACGTCAGTCTGTAAATGTATGCAAATTAGGTTTTTGCCGATGGTAGCATGCTTTTAAAATCTAACAGATTGTAAAGTATTAATAATTATTAATGTTAAACTTTTATTTAAAAAGCACTAAAATAAAACATTTGGGACAATCTGTGAAAGATACATCATGGGGAAAGTTAAAAAAGGTCGCAGAGGAGGAAAAGACTCTGAAAGGTAAAAAGTACCTACCTATTTATTTCCCATTTGTTTAATCTATGCTATAATTATTCTAGCGATTCTGAGGGTGAGGTAGAAGTAGTGGATAAAACCATTTCAAAAAAATCGAAGGGCGAAAATAAGTAAGTATACAGTCTATTGACGATTATATTCTATTGTTGTTTTAGGAAGAAAGATTACGATGATGAAGGTGATCTTAATGCAAAGTCTGTAAAGAAAGCAAAAGGAAAGAAACTGAACGATTCTCTCACAGATGACGAAATGAATGAAAATAATAAAAAGAAATCGAAAACGAAAGGGAAAAAGAAAGCAGATCCTGAAGATTCAGAACCTGAATCTGTGGCAGTGTCTCAAGTGCAGAAATCTTTTGCCCTTTTAGAAGTGGAAAGTGACAATGATGATAAACCGATAAATGCTCAATTGGATAGTGAAGAGGATAAACCAATTAAAAAAGAGACTGGCAAAAAATCAAAAAAGGCACGCAGAAAACGAGATGATAGTGATGATGACCTTGATCAAGTATTAGCAGAGTTAGAAATGGAATATTCGGGCACTAAACCTGCCATTGAGCAAGAAACCACGCCAATAATCGATGAAGCACCAGAGCCTAAAGCAAAAATTAAAAAAGAAAAAAAACCTCAAAAGGCAATTGAGAATGACGTTGAAGATGACAATGAAGTAACATCGACAATGAAAACAACGGCTCAGAAAAAGAAAGAAAAGAAGGAAAGGGAAAAGCAAAAGAAAATTGAAGACAAACAATTAGCACGCAGCAAGTTGGAGGCTAAACAAGCAACCGAAACAGATGCAGTTGAAGTGGAAGCTCCAATTGAAGAACAGGCAGATGAAGGTGAGAGGGATAGTAAGAAAAAAAAGAAAAAAGGGGCGAAAGTTGAAGAAAAGGATGATAAGAAGGATGCAAAGAAGGGCCCGGGTAAGAAGACGATAGCTGCCATGCAGGAAGCTCTTAAGAAAATGCGCGAGGAGCAGGAGAGATTGGAGAGGGAAGAAGAGGAACGGATCAAACGTGAGGAGGAGGCCGAGCAGGAACGCTTGGAAACTTTGAGGCTTGAAAAGGAGAAGAAAGAGAAGAAAAAGCAGAAGGAGAAAGAAAAGAGGGAGCGATTGAAAGCCGAAGGAAAATTACTAACTGCAAAACAGAAGGCTGACCGCGCACGTGCACAGGCCATGATCGATAACTTAAAGGCGCAGGGTTTGGAGTTACCGGATGTCGGCGAGAGAAAACCCAGACTGGGGACGAGGATAAAACCGTCAAAACTGAAGACGCAAAAGAGCACAGAGAATCAAAAGGAGGCCGAGGAGCCGAAAATGGAGTCTGCTCCAGTAGAGACTAAGGTGGAAGTTGAAATTGTCGAGCAGGTTGCAGTAAAGGAATCGGAGGATGAGGTGAAAGATGCATGGGATGCTGATAGTAGCGATGACGGTGGATCTGATGAAGTCGCTGCTCCAACAGGTAAACAGTTTTATTTATTAAGAGGATTGGAGACCACGTGACTTTTTCATGCGTAAACAAAACTGTTTGTTTACGCATGAAAAAGTACCATCTCCGATGGAGACGTAAGGGGACTGCCCTTACGTCTCCATCGGAGATGTTACCACAATTCTCATTGCAGTGTAATCTTACATCTACCAGCGTATATTCATCTCTGTCACACAAATTGTATTCCAGAACTCGTTGCTGCAGAATATACGCGTCCTAGTAGCATGTGCTTTGTGGCAACACTGCTGCGCTTTGACATTTGAGTGATCAAAACAAAATATAGGTACAAAGATTAGGTCAAGTTCGACTTTTAAAGTATTTGCAACAAAAATGATAGCTCATTGTTTAATTTTTGAAACAAAAGCAAGAAAAACGTGTATTCACCTGATAGGAGCTCTAAAAAAATTGCTTTCACTGATATCCTGTTAACTGTCAAGAATTCACAACTAAAATTCGGAAAAATACTAGTTTCAAATTTCTCCAATGGGGAGCATATGTAATTTTCGCATTTGGGCCTCTCTTTGACCAAATATCTCTTTTTACTTTCTCTTGTAAAATAGCAATAATTCTAAAAAGTTAATAAAAACATAAGTACATTTATTATTATTATTATTATTATTATTAACACGATATCTCGAAAATGAATGGACCGATTACGTTGAAACTTTGCCGGTGGATTCTTTATCAAATTTGTAGATCAGAGTTCGTGAATTGACAATGTAAAAAGGAACGCCTTTTTGTCATCTTCGTTAGTTATGAATCAAACTGCATGAAATTCAATATGGGCATAACTTTAGCCATATAATATGCAATGCCAAAAGCTGAGTCTAATCGATTCAACATTCACAGTGCCCTTTTCGCTTCTCAACCATTAATTATGAAGGTATTTAAATTAAATTTGATACTTAGGCACTTGGAGTAGAAGGTAAATCGGACACCAGATTCAAAATTTGGTTTTGCGCAAGCTATAGCCATACCCAGGAGCTTGTTTGCTATATTTGTTGACACGTTTATTAAATGTTGGAATAATGAAAACAACATATTGACAATCGCTCTAACTAATGCCTACTAAAATACCTTTACAGCTAAATACTCCTATCTAAAGAACGCAATGTTTATGATGACGCACAAATATTAAGGCGTTATGGATAAATCACTTCTAGTTCACGTGCAGAACGTAAAGAAAAATAATCAGCAAGTCGTTGACCTCAGGCGGATGGAGCTTTTAACGCCTCGTTTTTAATTTCTGCGAGTCTGCTCTCTGGAAAACTTCACATAGTAGTTTTGGACCCTGGGATTTCTATACTGCTTCCTCTCGATTTTGCTCGATTTCTTCTTGGTAGAATTACTCCATAAAGACCAATTAAAGCTGTCCCATGAAAATACTCACAGGCTGGTTAATAAAATAAACGCAGGCGGGTGAAAACAACTCTAGCTTATTCCGACCCGATTTTAACTTTAAAAGCGAATTTCGGGTGCACGCGGAAAGTGGGAAACGGTTAGTGAATGTAGTAGCCTTCGACAAGATCTGTTATTGATGGTTGAGTCAAGTGGCTAATAGAATACTGATCTGCCACACAAAAATGCGCTGAAGTCCCTTCGATCTCACACGAGGACTTTGATAATTTTTTCACTACACGTCTATGTACACTCGACTTTAATTCGTCTAGCCCCTAACTATAGGACCAACCGCTTTTAAAACAACTAATTTGTCAGTCAGCGAGCGAATGAATCATGCTTACTTTACATTCCCTACTTTGTGAGTCCTAATTTGTCGCGATATTAATATCTCAATTCATTGCTTACTGTTAACTAAATTTAATCTTTAAGTTTCACTGTCAAATTCAAATTCTACTCTACTGTAGAAGGTAAAATGAAATTAATTTTAGAAACGGTAGCCCATTAAAGTTTGACTCAAATCTAATATAGAAACGATAATGAATCCGATAATGATTTTATGATTTCTCTAATGTTTTGTAATGGAAATTTGTCATCCTTAATTTGCTTGTTAAGCAAGGGATAAACTATTATAATTTCGACTTTCTTTCGCCATTCCTGTCTAATTTTTTAGGTACCAGTAAAACTGTGGAAATGAAAATTCATTAAAAACAAAAATCAGCCATGTAACGAAGACATCATTTGAAATGTTTGGATATTGTGAGATACACTCTCATCTTGTACTCCCCTTATTGCATCTTTTAAAGATCTATCATACCTAGAAGCTACAATGAGTTTTGATTCCTACAAGACAGAGTTAGGAGATTTTCAAGACAATGTTTCGTTTTGTAGAAATCATCAACTTAATTTTTTTATATGGGTCGCAAAAAAATACATTCTGTATTCAGAAACATTTTTTACTACAAATAACAACGATATACAGCACAAAAAAAAATAAAAGTTGAAAACTGTTGGTTTCAACAGGACGGTGCACTCGCACAAAAAGTCCTAATTGTGTGAGAATACCTATTGGGTAAATTTCGTTGAAAATCGAAAATAGTGGAATTCTGGTTTAATCGGTTTTTCAAGTGCAATAACAATTTTTCTCTATTTTCTGTACAACATAAATTGAGAAATTTGTGGTTCAATATTTAGAAAACTAGCTTGTCATGGGCCATATTACACACGAAAGACCTAAATCAACTTGTTCAATGTTTTATTTTGAAGAATTACTTTTGCACGATATGACTACCCGCGCAATAGACACCGTGCATCCGGACAGCACACGGCATACTAGATTTCATAAGTTTTCTAAGTATTAAATCACGAATTTTTCCCTTTTTGTATATCAACCATATGCATATTTTATTTTGTCAATTAGACTTTTCAAATATTTTGAAAATCATAGGCATATTACATTTGAAAAAGCTGAATTGACACCCTCAACTCCTTATGTGATCGGATATAATTCCTTATATCTCAAGAGCAGATTGTAGGACGTCTGGAAGAAATATATCCATTGGTGATCTCAAAACTTTATGAGCGAATCTCTCGAAAACAGTTTGTGGGATGAAAGTACTCTCAAAGCCAAAATGAATCTTCTGGATGGGATTATTGGTGAAGTCGAACAATGAAGTGTCGGAAGAGGTGCTCATAGAGGGCAAATGGCACGTCAGAACGTTTCTAATTTTATTTTGCCTTTATTTTTGGCATATCTATTGGTAATGTCAAAACTTTCAGTGCAAATATCTGCAGAACGGACTGCCGGAGGAGGGCAATCTCAAAGAGTGCAAAGGTCGTCTAGACCAGCGGGGTCGCGCGTAGATTTTTGAGGGTCGCGGTAGGTACAGCACAGGCAAGATAATTTAACGTCGTTTTGTAGTAATTAAAACTTACATAGTCAGCTACAACCGCGGGGATTTCCGACTCCGAGACGCCTGGTAGTGATACCACACGAACTCGCCTGTTGTTGAGAACATCGCTTCAATTTGCCAATAACTTTATGTGTGTGATGTGGTTAATTTATTTAGTTTCAAAATGAGCAAGCAATCAAATCTGTTTGGATTTTTAACGAAATCTGGAAGTGTTGAAGACAATTACAACATAAATCGCTCAATGTCAACATTTAGTTTTTTTTTGTTAATTATTAAATTTTTGTTAAATTGTCTTAATGAATATTGACTTTATTTTGGAACCACTGGAAAGCATTTTTCAGTAGCTTTTCAACGATGTGTCACAGGTATGGAGTTGCCATTTAGGATTTTTGAAGAGGGATGCTGGGGAGTTAAAAGGGAGTGGGGGGTTGTCACTCATAACGTCATTCTGGTTCACCCTCGATACCCCCGAAACGGTTTTGCGCGATTTTCAATATCAATATCTTCTTTAGTTTGGAAAATATGGCCGACTGCAAGTTTTAAAATTGACACCCCATATAACGGCATTACATAACTGTTGTATGTATTCAACTCGCTAACAATAAATAAAAAATATTTAGTTTAGCGTGTAGGGCATTTAACTGGATTCCTCAAGGGCATTAACAAGAGGATTAAGTAGGTACTAGGGGGGTCGCGGTCATCAGACCCAGAAAATAGGGGGTCGCGATTACAAAAAGGTTGAGAATCGCTGGTCTAGACGAGACATCTACCGGGGGTGTATTATTATTGTGAATAAATGCATTATTTCGGAGAATTTCTTTATGTGTAAAAAGCCCCCACCCCATTAATCATCTACCAAGAAAGTAAACATCGATACATGCTACTACTTTTATAATCCAACCATTTACTAAGCTACATTGGATTTAAAAAATGCGCTTTATCTGTTTTTTTTTTATTATTTAGTGTTTTTTTAATCACCCTGTATATGGCTTATTTTGAAATCTGTGGGATTTTAGTCTCTTGCTACAACAACATTAACTTCTAATGTGTAGCAGGTACCAAATTGTTTGTTGTTTCGTAATAGTGTAACACTTAATTTTTTCTAGAAGCGAAGGTGATTGAAAAAGAAATCAAAGTTGAGAAAAGGGAAGAGTCAGAGGAAGAAGATGAAAGTAGCGAAGATGAAAACGAAAGTGAAAATGATGAAGACTCATCTAGCAGTGAAGACGATTCAGAAGAAACGGATAATCGTACCGACGCGGAGAAGAGGCGGGATAGGGCAAAGCAGAGAATAGAGGTATTATCGTGCGTACGCCCAGGGTTACCTATTTTACCCATTCTGTCTTTAGCAAAGGCAAATTGATGCCGAAAAGAATCGTACGCCGGATAATTTAAGGGCAGCAGTCGTTTGCGTTTTGGGTCATGTAGATACTGGAAAGACAAAAATTTTGGACAAACTTCGAAGGACAAATGTTCAGGATGGTGAAGCGGGTGGAATTACTCAACAAATTGGAGCAACTAACGTACCCCTAGATGCAATTAAGGAACAAATTAAATATGTGAAAGGCGTATGTATATTTTTGTAATGTATAATGCGGTAGGATGTAAGTCCCTTGCAGTAAAATAGCCTCTGAAATTCAAATACAGTCAAACTCGGGTATAACGAACTCGGCATATAACGAACGCTTGCTTGTAACGAACGAAATTTAAAGGCACATCAGAATGCTGTATTAAAAGCATGTAATCTGTCCTCGCTTATAACGAACCTCACATATAACGAACACTCTGATATAACGTACTAATTGTTACGCTCGAACTGATCAGAGCGATCGCCTATAACGAACCGTCGACGGTTTCCCCACCACATATGACCTCGCCCGGGTGTGTCGTCGTGAGTCATGACGATCGGTAGTTCAACGTAGTTAGTGTGACTCATATTGCCTTCGGTGCCGCGCGTGCAATATTTTTTTCAATGGCGGAGGAAAATGTGAAAGCTATAAATAAGCGGAAAGCTGTTTCATTAAGCCAAAAAATCGAAATTATTACAAAGTTACAGAATGGTGCAGCAAACGCTGCGATTTGTAGGGAGTATAAGTTGTCCAAGTCGACTGTCTCAACGGTATGGGCAAATAAGGAAAAGTATTTAAGCGTCCAACATGTAAATTCTCCTTCTACCAAAAAGCTAAGAGGGTCGTCTAAGCCAGAAGTAGACCAGTCACTTCTGAAATGGTTTTCATTAAAACGTAGCCAGAACATTCCTATTTCGGGACCCATTCTTCAAGCCAAAGCTGCGGAATTTGAAAAAATTACGAAAACTCTGAATACTCAGGAATCACAAGAAGAACCAGGGTCTTCATCGAAAGAAATTGAATACTCTAGAGGATGGATTGACCGCTTTAAACGCAGATATGACATTCAATCTGGGAAAATTCATGGTGAATCGGCTAGTGTGTCTTTGGAAGTTACCAACCAGTGGATAAATACAGTTTGGCCTGGTTTGAGAAGTAAATATGAAAAGTGTGACACCTTTAACGGTGATGAAACCGGATTATTTTTTAAACTGACACCTGACAGAACCCTAAAATTCAAAGGAGATAAATGTTCTGGAGGAAAATTGAGTAAGGAGCGCATTACTGTGTTTGTCTGTTCAAACATGGATGGATCTGAAAAACGTAGACTTGTTGTAATTGGCAAGTCTGCTTCACCAAGATGCTTTAAGGCAACAAAAAATCTTCCAGTGACGTACTATTCAAATAAGCGAGCATGGATTACATCGGAGATCTTCGAAAAAATTTTGAGAGATTGGGACACGGAATTGGAGAAAAGGAAAAGGAAAATTTTGCTATTGGTTGATAACTGTCCGGCCCATCCAAAGGTACTCAATCTTAAACGCATTGAGTTAATCTTTTTGCCTCCAAATGTTACAGCCGTGCTTCAACCTATGGATCAGGGCGTCATACGTAGTTTGAAATCTCATTATAGGCAGCAGCTTTTGTTTAAGTTAATTCGCGCTTTAGACAGTAATAATGATTTAAAAATTACATTACTAGACGCTGTTATGATGCTAGTGACTGCTTGGGGACGAGTCAGCTCTACAACCATCTTGAACTGCTTCCGTCATGCAGGATTAGATATTGGGCGTGATGCGTTTGACGAAGACGACGACATTCCATTGGCTTTATGGATAGAGAAGGAAAGAAGTAAAGAAATAGATAATATACCAGATTTGAATGAGTGGGCAAAAAGTAACTCAATAACAGATTTTGATGACTTTAATTTAACAGAGTATGCCACTGCCGATGACAATTTAGTTGTAGCTGAGTTTCCTTCTGATGCAGAGATAGTGTCTTCAGTAAGCAGCCAAATCGACATTGAAAGCGAAGAACTAGAAAAAGGAGAAGATAGTACAGAAGGAGAAAATCAAAGGGAGCTGCCTACGACATTGGAAGCCTTGGACTCATTGGAGACAGTAAATAAGTTTTTACGTTTTAATAATCCCACCGATGATTGTATTAACGCATTAGAACTTATTCATGGTACGATTCAGAAATCTCTTTTAGAAAAACGTAAAAAGCAAACAAAAGTTACAGAGTTTTTTAAATTGTAGAACATAGAGTTTTGTTTTTTTTAGGTTGAGTTTATCTTATGTAGTAATAATACATTTTTTTCCGATTTTGAATTATTTAGACGTAAGTAGATCTTAAGAGTTTCATTCTTGTTATAATCAAAATACATACATCCATACGTACATATGTATGTAAGTATTTTAAAATAATGAAATAAATGTGATGTCACACAATACTAATTATTGTTTTTCTTTATATGTATGTACATACATATATAAAATATGTACATATTGCAAGATGTACATACACACTTTTGTTATGACGGGGCTCGGCTATAACGGCCGCCCGGCTATAACGATCATTTCCTTTTCCCCCTTGAGTGTTCGTTATATCCGAGTTTGACTGTATATTAAGTGAAAAGGCCTTCGCCCGAAAGGCGCATTTTCCTCACTTCCCCAAAAGGCTATGTGAGCTATGTTTTTCGTTATTGGAAGCATCTATGGTAACATTTCAAAGAAATGTCTCCATAAATAAAACAATTATCATGGCGCAGACTGTGCATGCGCACCTGATGTTTACAATATGCGACGTTTACCTTTACTAGAATCAGCTTTAGTTAAAATTTCAAATAAATATGTCCATAAATAAAAAAGCGCATGCACACATTTGATTTTTTTTATATGAGATATATTTGCTTTACTAGAAGTGTCTGTGGTTAAAATTTCAACAATATATACAGGGTGTTTTAAATTGAGTAGGATAACATGGGTATCTCTGTTATTATTATACTTACCTCGATACTTACAGATTCAGTTAAATTGGCAAAGTTTTGTAGTTTTTGATGCTCGTGGATATTCCGATGCGATGTTTTGAAAAAAATAAATCGTTTCATAGATAAATTGGAAAAAATTCAAATATTTTAGTAACATAGAGAGCTACGGAAAAAACTCTCAAATAAAAGTTGCAAGATTCGATCGGTTAATTAAATTCAATGGGTGTAGAAAACATTTTTTCAAAATGGCAGTTTTCGAGATATTGACATCAACTTCTTTATTTTAAATGGACGCCATATTGGATTTTAGCTCACTCGATAAAGAATAAATTGCAAAACCAGTGATACTAAACACAATGTATTTCTTATGGCAATAATTACATGGCCGATTGTGATTGAAACAAATTTCGGTCTCACATAGTCACCATTGACCATGGAATTTGTGCCATAAGAAATACATTGCAAACTCCAAGGCAAAAATGCAGGGTTGATTCCCAAATGAAATACTAAGTGTTTAATATCACTGGTTTTGTAATTTTTTTCTCTATCGAGTGACGCAAAAATCCAATATGGCGTCCATTTAAAATAGGAAGTTGAATATCTCGAAAACCGCCATTTTGAAATAAGTTCATTGAATTTATCCCATCTAATCTTGCAACTTTCATTTGAAACTTTTTTCAATAGCTCTCTTTGTTACTAAAATATTTTAACTTTTTAAAAATGGCGATTTTCACTTTTTTTGAATTATCTACGAAACGATTTATTTTTTTCAAAATATTGCACTGGAATATCCATCAGCATAAAAAACTACACAACTTGGGGTACTACATTCTCCAACAAAAATGTTTAGAGTATGCATTAAAGGGTCATATTGCGCAGCCTGCGCCTGCGCACCTTAGTCATCTACAATCTACGACCATAATAGCACCTTGCAGTGCAAAAGTAAATACACTTGGAAAAATTTCATTTACAATCACTGTAATTACACCTTAAAGAGCAAGGATAGTTTAAAAACGTCACATTTTATTATTTTACTTTTAATAATTTTAAATATGATCAGTGCAATTATGCAACCAACAATAAGGATAATTTAAGAAATCGTCGTCTAACGCAATTGTATTTCCAAAGTCTTTAATTGTGAACAGTGCAATTACACAACAACAAAAAGTAGGAGATATACGTCATTCTTTGACAAGCATGATATACTTCGAAAAAGTCTATTATTATTTTTTCTATTTCGGTGTCACAATGATGAAGACAGTGATTATAGTAGTTTTTTTTTGGTAACTCATCTCTTAAGTTGGCAGTTACTAGTTAGTAGAAGTAGATACTTCGTTGGGTACTTCCATGTTTAAACTTCAAAATGTCAGTCTTACTACGCTGCCAACCTAAAACTTAACGGCATAAAAAGTGTTCCCAACATAAAACATGTTAGTTCTAATGTTCCCTCTAGTTTCTGATAATGATTTTTTTAATTAAATTAAAGCACCGAAATAGAAAAAATAGTATGAAAAACGCGTGTTACAATGCTTTATTGTAATACTCCTATCTTGCGGACACTCGTGGCTACGCTTCGCGTCGCCACCCGTGCCACAAGATAGTCGTATTACAATAGGTCGCATTGTAACACTTGTCTTTCAATATACTATTGTGGTCAGTGTAATTATACCACCAATAGTAAGGCTCAATAATTGTACTCGCGAACTCGCTCGTGAAGCACACACCCGCGGCCGTGACCACTCGCAATGAAAACATAATAATATGCAGGAAATATTGTTTTCTACGAATTACAAATAAAGATATCGTTTCGTTTTAACTGAAATAACAAAAGCTTGACGAATGGAAAATTAACACTGTAGTTAGGTACCTATCAAATATTACAGTAGCGAATCAAATCAAATCAAACGATTCTATAAAATCATAATTGTGTGTGCTAGCGATCAGAAAAAAAATTTAGAAAATTTAAGAAAAAGACTAAAAAAAATTCTAGAAAATTCAAACAAATTGTTGAAAATTCTAAAAAAACTAAAAACTAGTAGTGTACACTAACATTCTTTTTCGCCTCGCGTTTTTGGCAATAACTTCTCTATTTGTATACCTACAAGAAACTTTAAAAGGGAAAGTTAATCAGCATAAAATTGGGCATAACTTTACCTATTTAAGCGGCTTTGTATCTTGCAGTTTACGAGTTCCCATAGTGACAATTTAAAAAACTCAATACCTAACTAATTAATTTTTTTAATAAATACTTTTTGTAGTAAAAACAGTTTTTATTTTTTAATTGGGAAAAGACGGCGTGCGCAATATTAGTTTTTAGAAAAGAGGCGCCATGGAAAGAAATTTGGGAAGCACTGTTATAAAAAATAAAATGTGGTATGTCAACTTCTTTACTTATAGAGATAATTTGAAATTTTAACCGCAGATGCTTCCAGTTCCTATGGCATATAGTAAAAATTAGATATGCGCATGCGTCGATTGCGCAATATCAACTTTATTATTTATGGAGATCCCCTAATTCTTAAATTGAGAACGTTATACTGAATACTAATCGCTTCTTTCATTAGTTTGCAGATATGAAATTCAAACTGCCCGGTTTACTAATCATCGACACCCCTGGTCACGAGTCCTTCAGTAATCTAAGAAGCAGAGGCTCGTCTCTGTGCGACTTTGCAATCCTTGTTGTTGATATTATGCATGGATTGGAGCCTCAAACAATTGAATCACTCAATTTACTCAAGTCCAAGAAGACGCCGTTTGTCGTTGCGCTTAACAAGGTAGATCGTCTGTACGATTGGAAAACAATGGGCAGAAGAGATATCAGCGACGTGATCGCAAATCAAGCGGGTAATACTCAACTGGAATTCACGCAACGTACACAAGAGGTTATCGTGCAGTTTGCCGAACAAGGCTTAAATGCTGCTTTGTGTTATGAGAATCCAGATGAAAGAAGCTATGTGTCGTTAGTGCCAACTAGTGCCGTAACCGGCGAAGGGATGGGTAACTTATTATCTTTGATTGTTGAAAATTGTCAAAATCGACTAACAAAAAGGTTAATGTACTCGGAAGAATTGCAAGCAACTGTACTTGAAGTGAAGGCTATTCCTGGTTTGGGAACGACCATTGATGCGATTTTAATTAATGGAACATTAAGAGAGAGCGACACCATGGTGTTGGCGGGAACAGACGGACCAATAACGACACAAATCAGATCGTTGCTCATGCCACAGCCGATGAAAGAACTACGTGTCAAGGTAAGGAAGAATCCCATTCACTGAAGGATTCATTTTATTATAACTTTTAGAATGCGTATGTTGAATACAAAGAAATCAAAGCGGCTCAGGGTGTGAAGATTGCCGCAAAAGAGCTTGAGAAGGCAATCGCTGGATTGAACCTCTACATTGCTCAAAAACCAGATGAAGTGGACATAATGCGTGAGAATGTGGCGAAGGAATTGAAAACCGCTTTGTCCGCAATTAAATTACAGGAGCGCGGTGTTTACGTTCAAGCGTCGACGCTAGGGTCATTGGAAGCATTATTAGAGTTCTTGAGAGCAAGTAAAATACCGGTAAGCATCTTCTTAATTAGTCTTTTTTTTTTAATAAGTTACAAAATTGGATATGAGTGGTAAGTGTGTCCATACCAGCGGTTCTCAACCACCAAGCACCACCGAGCTTTATAACCTCAAAATATTTTATTGCATACCAAGTCTTCAATAAAAGTCGAGTGTGTGTTTTTTTTTAACTAAACACACAGATAGGTGGCTATGAATCTTTCAAAAATAAAAACATTAATCAGTAAAGATCTGAATTTTGGTACACATGTTCATTAGTGTTCCCCATTGGACATACTAATAGCGTTTTCGATTGGCAAAACTCGTACTGCACGAGTGTTGCACGAGAAACTGAAGAAATCCATGTGAAAATTGCTCTCAATGGAACATAAATATTTGTTGTCATTTGTCCATAACCTCATTTTAGATTTAGGTAATCGACAAATCTCTATTCTAAAAAATGACAAACAATTTCAGTATTATTTATGATAAACGATGAGGAATATAAATTTGAAATTCCTGTAAAGGACCAATTTTTGGCGTTCAGTTTAATGAGTAAGTGCAACTTTTTGTAAAATAGAAGTTATGGCTAGTTCATCATCTTCGCTATCGCTAGATGACGACAAAAAACTGTTCCAACGCAAGAAACAAATTCAAATTGTCGCACGTTTGTTTTGAAAATTTGTTAACTAGCAGCTCCACTAGCTCTCGGACCTCGTGCGTCGAAATTTGCACTGAGTGCGTAATTGTTGCATCACATTTGCCAATGGAACACGGAAAATTGCCCTAAAATTACCAATAGAACGTAAAAATTGCACTCGTGCAGCACGAGTTTTGCCAATCGAAAACGCTATAAAAGTCCCCGTCAAAATCTGTTGCGCTCGAGGCGCCATCTTGGAAAAAAGGAGCACTTCTTCAGTTTCTTGCCTATATATCGGCACACTATTATTGATACGGAAAAATAGCTCAGATAAAAAATATAGTTTATTAAATTGCCAATAAAAAAGCATATTAACATTTTTTTGTATGTCCAATACTTTAGCTATAATCCGACATCGAATAGGGAATCAAGTATCCTGAGCTCTCGAAACAGTCGCGCAGATATTTTTTTACAACTTTTTACAAATCATTAAATTTATTGAAAATTCTGCCAGTATTTCTTATATATATATAAAACTCTCTCTCTCAATAGAACTTTCATCTTCAATGTGAGCAGTTGAGCACTGAGTGTGGACTGGGAGCCTTCAGTGTCCGAACAGGGTCAAGGAAATCGTGGACTCTCCTTCAACTCCATAGTTCTGGAGATTTTTCATATCCACACAATTTCTGAACTTGCTGATTAACACGAAACGTGTGTTGCTGGGCCGCTGCAGCCGTAGGGGGTAACAGTGGTAGATTCGGCTGACCCTTGTACGCGTATTTTCTGAAGGTCTGATAACGATGTTTAAAATATCTCTCACTAGCAGGCACGTTATATGCAGATAAGGACGTTCTCCAGCTTCAGAAATCATTTCGTGGCTCCAACAATTTTAATCATTTTCGCTTACCTTTTTGAAAAAAACATGATGTCGTATCATCAAACATTATGTCATTGCTAGAATGCTTTATCGCAAGACGATTCTGTTCATTTTTTAGTACTTTTACAGCTTTCGGTGTAGTCATAAAAAAGACAACTACGATACGGGGCCTAAACGCGTTCTGACGTATTCAACGTGAGATTACAGCTAAAGTATTGAAGATACAAAAAAAATGTAAATACTCTTTTTTTATAGGGAATTTAGTAAACTATATTTTTCATGTAAACTATTTCTTCGTATCAGTAATAGGAAAAGGAAAAGTGTACCGTTTTTCCAAGATGGCGTCTCGAGCGCAACGGATTTTGACAGGGACTTTTAGTATGTTCAATAGAAAGTCCCAATAAATGTGTATATCAAAATTCAGATCTTTACCGATTAATGTTTTTATTTGTCCAAAATTGCGCTAATTTGACTGGACTATTGCACAATTGTCATTTTTTAAATTGATCTACAAATGAATTCTTCAAGAGATGAATTGGTGAATATGATGTATGATTTGGGTGAAAGTGTGGCCCCCAGAGAACCCGTTCAAATAAATGCTATAAGATTTCTACGGCCATCAAGTTTTGATCACCTCAGGAATCGTTTTGAACAGACAAGGCATACGAACAACGTAATTTTCTGCCGTAGGTGACTTCTGAAGAAAATCATTTGGAAAGTTGTCTTGAGGGCGACGAAAAACCCACGTTTCAACTATGTAATTGTGCAATACAGCTGGAAGTTCACTTTTTGGGCTAGACTGGGCATGTTGACAGCACAATTTTCAGTATTGGAATACACAAAATTCCCATTTACTCGTCCCATTAGCGCGCTTGCTTCTTAAAAGTGCGGCGCAGATTCATTAGAAATTATCTTTTAGGCTCTTATTGGAAGGAATATCCATTCTCGCAATTACTTGGAATTATTAGAAACAGAGTTGCCAAAATAGTTTGATGACTTTGCATTAGCCCTGCGAAATAGGATGTGGTTTCACCAAAATGGAGCTCTTTCACATTTTGGCATAGTTGAGAACTATTTGTGTGCTTTAAATTTTTTGCAGCGCCATCTAATGCATAAACCCTTTTTACAATTTTAAACGGTACATGTTTATACTGCTGCTCAATAGAGGACCATTTTAAGAGTTTCTATATGGGTTGCCCATAAAATACATAAGGTTAACAATCTGTTGTTTGTGTATATCTATGGTTGCGGTAAACTTTACAACTAGCAGTTTCGTAATTTTATATTTGAATGTCACTTAATTCATTTATATACAGGGTGTTTCATTTATATTGAGACAGTCAATCATTGAGGAAACTAGTGGTGATATCAAAAAATGATTTATATGAAATATTGTTCATAATAGAGGGGCCTGTTTAATGATGCTATGCCTTTTCACATAACTTTCCGTTGAGGGTCAAGTACTTTTCACAAAAAAAAATGCGCTATTATGGCCACTTTGTCCGTCCGTCCGCTCTTTCGTTGAGACGCTACTAGTTCTTTATCTTAAGAGCTATTGTTCTACTTTTTTCGCTATTTGGTTCGTTATGGTGTCGAGGATTGCACCAAGGAAGGAATTTTTTCTGCGTTTATTACTAAAAAAAGTTATTGTGAAAAAACCAAAAAACCGTTTTTTACATGTTCCATAATTTTACACTTTTGCCGTTTATTAACGATCCTAGAGATCGTTTATAATTTTGTATTGCTGTCTGTCGCCTGTCTGTTGGTCTGTCCGTCTGTTCCTTTGTCTGTCTGTCCCTTAAATGAAATTTGATACATTTGCACTTGGAATATAGGAAATCAAACGCCAGTTTCAAAATTTGGTTTTGCGCATGCGCAGTGTCAACTTTTTTTATTTATGGAAGAATTTAAACGAAATTTGATACATAGGCACTTGGAATAAAGGAAAATCTAACGCCAGTTTCAAAATTTGGTTTTGCTCATGCGCAGGGTCAACTTTTTTATCTATGGTACCATTTAAATGAAATTTGATCCATAGGTGCTTGGAATAAAGGAATATCTAACGCCAGTTTCAAAATTTGGATTTGCGTATGCGCAGTGCCAACTTTTATTTATGGAAGCTTTGAAATGAAATTCTTCTTATAAACAGAAATTGAAGTAGGACGTCAAAAATTGATTGCACCTATGCAACGCTATCGTTCATATTTGTGACCGGATTTTTACGTTTTTAATAGAAGTTGCAACTTACAAATAGGAAATGAGTGCAAGTGGAAATGCGCTTATTGTAAATCGTTTACGATTACTTTTTTAACTTGTCATTGAATATTCTTATTCTACATGGGAAAATAATAAACTTGCATAGGAAACGTTTTTTCCCTATACTTACCATTTTTTGAAGATATGGTTACAATACAGTACAAATTAAAACCTTTCTTTCCATACAACTAGCCCGCTTATTTGGAGCAAAGGTGGCAGACGTCTTTGAAATTTTCAGATGTGTGAATCTTTTAAAATAACCTGCAGTATTATTTATGTTGAAACTATTTATTTTTTTCAGTATTCTGGCATTCGGATAGGTCCCGTCGTAAAGAAAGACGTAATGAAGGCGTCGATTATGTTAGAACATGAAAGCCAGTAAGTATATAGTGCTATTATTACACCGCTTTACCTTTTAAGTTTTTTAGGTACGCCACAATCTTAGCGTTTGACGTCAAGATCGAACGTGACGCCCAAGAGTTAGCCGACAATTTAGGTGTAAAGATTTTCCAGGCCGATATAATATATCACTTGTTTGACAAGTTCATGGCGTATCGCGAGGAGCTGAAGCAGAAGAAACGCGAAGAATTCAAGCATATTGCCGTGTTTCCATGCAAACTGCGAATTTTACCGCAGTTTGTATTTAATTCGCGAGATCCCATAGTTGTCGGAGTGATGATTGAGGGCGGTATTGTAAAGGAAGGTACCCCCATTTGTGTTCCTAGCAAAGAGTTTGTGGACGTAGGAATTGTGACTAGTATAGAAGTTAATCATAAAAATGTAGAGAGTGCTCGTAAGGGAATGGAGGTTTGCATTAAAATAGAACCAATACCTGGAGAATCTCCAAAAATGTTTGGAAGACATTTTGACGAGAAAGATTTTCTTATTAGCAAAGTGAGTTCATAAAGGGTAGTATTGTTTTGACAGTGAAACCATATTTTTTTTCTTATAGATATCCCGGCAGTCCATCGACGCCTGCAAAGATTATTTTAGAGATGATCTTACAAAACAGGACTGGCAGTTAATGGTTGAACTGAAAAAACTTTTCCAAATTTTGTAATTGATTACTCGAACTCTTATCTATTATGGCTGTTGTTTATAGTGTGCTGAGAAATACGAAAACGAGAAACATATTTATATACAATTCTTTATTTTCAAAATTAACTTTACATGTATATAATTCGTAAGAGCTTGTAAAGGTTTTAATTATACTTAAATCCTGTTGTGTATTCTGTTCTGAAGTGCCTCCTCTTAAGTTCTGTGTTCATCTCATTTGTTGTCGAAACATTTTTCAAATTTTCCACCGTGTGCAATAAATATCATAAGCTATTCTTACTCAACTTCCTTTTTTTTTCATCTGATGATGTGATAAAATATAAAAAATATAAGTGAAATATTTATTGTTGCCATTAATATTTTGCGGTCGCGGTTGTTTCCATAGAAACAGCATTGTCATATACAGGGTGTTTTGGGATGGGCCATAGCACATACCTATCATACATCATAACCGTAGGCGTTGAGTTATTCAAAATGGGCCATAGGAAAATTTACATTGTGCCAATGGTTCTCAAATCTTGGCCTTGCGCGTAGTTATTTCATTGACAGTTCTCGATCTGATTCTTCAAACTTCATCAACAAAACAGCAACACGTATTCCGCCGTTCGAAAAGGTGTTCATGTAGTACAATTTGTACAAGGGTGGGCACAGTAGCCGAGTGGTATGCAAGCTATTCATTGCTGAGTATCGGGTATTGTTTGGTTGGCGGTGGAAAACAATTCGAGTACCGATTGTAATCTTATACGTTTATATATGATTTGGATAAATTTGTTGATTTAGAAAAAAATTGTACAGTGCTGTGGCAGATTATTCGTGAGGAAGCAATGTAAATTTCCCTATAGCTCATTTTAAATAACTCAACGCCTTTACATTGTCGTATGGCCCATCTTAAAAAAAACACCCTGTATTCTGAACGTTATGTTATATCCTGTGACATTTGAAATAAGTCACAGATATCATTAGAATCCACAATCATCTGTTTCACTTTGTCTATCCTAGCGGTTAAAGTTTATCTACTATCACAGTTAAAGAACGACTCCCTCGCTTTGTTCTGAGCCCTCAACTGGCTTTCGCCCAATTACACAGCGACCCGCACAATGCTTTTTAGAGGTGCCCCTAAAGAAGATCATAATATTGTTTTGCACATACAGACAGCTATTCTGTATGGGCAGCTTATTATTCTTGAGGAAAATATGTGCATAATGGAAATGAAAACTATGTGTAAAAAAACTCCCTATCATTACTGTAGCTAGGCGTAAAGTGAATACTGTGTGATGTTACAGTATGTGGCAAATTTAAATATATCATTCCCGCTTTTATGTATTTAATTTAGGGAAAAAAACGCAAGTTACGGCACTGGAAATGTTTCACCCGCGCATTTTAACAATTCAAATTGTACAAGGACTAAAGTTGGTAAGCAATTGTGCGTAATGCTTTTCACACTAGCGATGTTTTTATCGACGCAGCATTATTATTATTATGTAGGTAGTGCGTTTCTTCAAGACAATTTAGGTTAAAGTTTATTTTCCTTTTTAAATTTACCGTAAAATAATTATGCTGTAGGGCATTAGTTTTACATTATTATGCTCCGTGCAATAGATAGATCAATGTGCAAATCATAGATTTTGTGGTTAGGTTAATACGTATAAATTTCATGAGAAACAACTTGCTGAATACGTTTTATACTTTATTGAGGAGGCAAATTGCTATTATGAACATTAAGTATTAACGAGCGACAAAAAGCGAGTTTATGATTTGGGACTTTCTGTCCGTCCGTCTGTGGACACGATAACTCACTAACGGTTTCGAATTTCTGATTCTGTTTTTAGCAATACCTAGGTAGACAATGGTCAAGGGACCGATTGATTAAATTTATGGTCACTATTTGTCAACCGGAAATGAATGTCGCTCGTTGTCTGCATTGGTGCAATTTATTAATTTTTTTTTTCAAAGGGCTGTTATATATGAACTTATTTACAATTATATAATATATGCTTAGGATAAAAGGTTACTGGCGGGGTTATCAATCTTTATGAACTAACACTACCACATTTAAATGCCGGTATGCTGGTCTAAACTTCGAGCAGATTTAGTCTGGGGCTGGATCAGCTTTGGGAGTTCTCAGAAGATAACCACTGCTCAATAAGGCCACATGTAGCAAGCATATTGAAAATGAGTGAAATCCAATGATCCCGTAGGGTCAAACCGAGGTGCTCTGCCGCTTTTTTAGATCTGCATTAAGGGTTTATTTAAACTTGAGTTTTGATTTGTCTCAGCGCCAGCCGCCAGGTAATGGTAGGTCCGCACATGGACGGTGTGATGTGATCTAGCTAGTGCCTTGTGAACTAGACTACAAAATGAGAAGACCCAGATTCCATGATTTTTTGGACTTTATCTTTAAGTGGGCGGGGTTTCGGCCAAGGCTGCTCTATCAACCCAATCCACTATACATTCACAAATATTCATGCCCGAACCAGGGGCCACCTTATACCGCAGTCGCGCTTCCACGCCACACAGTCCATTAATCCATTAATGTGACCCTACCACACTTAGACCTGCATCACGGTTGCCTCAGTTTGTAGATGCGGGGCGTGAGAGGCAACACCAGCTCGTGACATTATGATTAGAGTGCTAGGGGAATCTACTCCAGTCAAATGGTGCTTTGCTGTATGTATAATAAGTACTTAAGAGCCGCACTGCTGGAGTATATGCCGATAAGTGACGAAAGAGTACAATATCACCTACATTTTAAGCATACAAATAAGTTTTTTACGAATGAGTAGACAGTTTTTTGAATATTGTATTCCAACAAAGAAGGTTTGGTTTATGTAGCGCGTCGCAAATGGCGGGGATACACACATTACTTTTGCTTTATACAATTGCCGGAAGAGGCACGCAATGACATAATATATTTTACCTGAAACCGTCAAGAAAATCTAAATTTCAGGGCTATTTTGATATTAGAAAGTTGATCTTTACCTGACTAGTACTGTAATATTTTTGCCTGACGCCCATTACAGTCCTAGTACATGCAAAATAACAATTAGATCATTCATTGAATAAGTTATTCAATCAACGATTGGATAATTATATTGCAGACTATGTGGATATTTTTAAATATTAATATACCTACACAAAGGATAATGGTTTTTTATTACGAACAATTAATGGAATATGTGTGGAAGTAATTATTCCTTTAGTTTTGCGCCAGTCATTAAAAGGTTTCTACGCCTTTTCGTACCTTTTTTTTGACTTTGTGGGGAGCGAATATTTCACTACAGCGGCCGCAGCTTCGGCTACATTATAACAACGTCTTGCATAGGTACTCTTCTTCACTGATACCTGCTTTTGTACCTAGTTATAAAGACTGTATAGTTGAAAAGTACAAAGTATAAACTGAAAACTGCGTTAAAAATGACACTGACTGTTTTAATTATTTTGAAATCTCTATGGAAACAATTAAATAAAGTGATTTTAGCATGCGTGATTAGGTATCAAAATTTCACACATGAATAATTTAATTTGGAAAAGTTTTCTACATGTTGCGGTTTCAGGTAAAATTTTATACATAATATGTCATGAAAGTGAGTCTACCTGACTTGGAGGCATTAAAGAGATACTCGGACGTCCTCGTACTTTTCAATAAGCCTCCGCGTCATGTAAACGACCAGTTTCATGACTTATTATGTAAATAACTATTAAAGTGACTAGTAATATACAGGGTGGCAATTTGAAAACTTACCACCCCCATGTCTTAGTAAACAAACGAGATATTTAAAAAAATCAGAATCCGTTTCGGTAATTCAGAGGGGGAATCACAATACCATAGTTGGCGACGCACCCCCTGCGCCGCATCCACCCCAACTTTTATATCTTAAATAGTGACACCCCGTGCGTGATACGTCGTTGGAAAGCTCTGCTTTCCAACCATATCAAATAGCATTACATTTAGGTTAGTAATTATCGTGCAAGTCAAAAAATAAACTAACATGATACATTGATACATTTTCTAAAGATGGCTTATTTTATTTCAATAAATGTTCAAAATGGTTTGGACAGTAGTATAATCTATTCTCAAACTCTTGTCGAACCTTTTCAAATGTTCGTTTTGCAATATTTCGACATTCTTGAATTATTCTCTGTCTTAGTTCGTCTTATGTTCGCCGGTTGCGTTTTAAATACGACAGATTTCAAATGTATCATATATTAGTTTATTTTTTGATTTGCACGATAATTACTAACCTAAATGTAATGCTATTTGGTATGGTTGGAATTTGGACAGCATTTGATCAGAGCTTTCCAACGACGTATCACACATGGGGGAGGGGGGGGGGAGGTAACTATTTAAGATTTAGGTTGGAGGGGGTGCGTCTCCAACTATGTTATTGTGATTCCCCCTCCGAATTACCGAAACGGATTTTGATTTTTTTAAATATCTCGTTTATTTACTAAGGTACATGGGGGGTATGGTGAGTTTTCAAATTGCCACCCTGTAAATAAAATAATATTGCTCGCGCTAGTTCTGCTTAGCATTCATTGATATGTCTCTAATTACGTTCAAGAAAATTCTTCTGTAAGAACGTGTGCGGTTCTTACAGAAGAAGTTGACTCAAAATTTCCACTCAAAACCCTATATATTATATGCTCAAACAAAACCCTCAAGGCGGGCAGCCGATCAATTGCAAACCTGTAGGTAAGATTACTCATTTAAGATTTCTTGCTTGTTTAATAGCGACATCTTTGTAATCGTGGCTACACTAAAATGACGCTTTTTAGTTCCTAAAATTGACACACCTCCAGTTTCTATTCAAAAAGCGTACAACTCTCATTTAATAATCGCTTGGATCCCAAAGTGTGCATTTCACTTCACTGTATCACTGTGAAGTATTAAAGTAAATATCGCTGTTTGGAAAAATAAAAATCATGTCATTTAACTTTGAATTTCGATTTATCGATTATTTTGTTATCGATTTGCGTGTAAATCCTATCCTTTAATACCTACTTAAACCAAAGTTTAATACAATATTCAAAAACGTTGTACTCATTCGTAAAAATCGTATTTGTATGCATAAAATTTAGGTGTTATTGTTATTCTACTGTTTTTCTACTTATCGGCATAAATCACAGCAGTGCGACTCTTAAAGGATTTACACGCAAACGGAGAGCTATGAACGCACTTTTACTATTCGTGTCATAATTACACTGACCACAAATTAAACCATCGGACATTTTTCGATGTGTCGCGCTTTAATAAATGACGATTTAAATTTTTCTTGCTATTGCAATTTGTGGATTACCTAATCGCAGGCAATATCCTTAAATGTGAAAATGCCCCTTGACGTTATGCTCATCGTGAGTAGCGCAGCTACACTGTTCACAAATCAAATGTTTAAGAAGCTTATGTGTGTTAATAGGCCACACTTTAAGCGAACGCTTAATTGTAGCGTAATTACACTGATAGCAGTGATAGAATGTTATTCAAAGCGGAGTGTCAAAAAATGGCCTATTTTTTGATGTGTAATTACACTATGCACAAGTACATAGACTTTGGAAATGTTATGCCTTAGAGCTTAGACAATGATTCTTTAATTTATCCTTAGGTAGTGTTGGAGTTGGTTGTGCAATTGCACTGTTCACAATTAAAGACTTTGGAAAATATTATGGGTTAGACGATTTCTTAAGTAATTTTTATTGTTGGTTGCATAATTACACTGATCACATTTAAAATTATTTGCTATTTGAAATTACATTGATTGCAAATGAAATTGTTGCAAATGTATTTACTATTACAGCCGTAAAAACTACAATATTGATTACTTTTGACCATTGTCAATTAATTTACCATACGATTGTAGACCGGCATTCCCTCCCTGCTTTTCTTCTAATACTTCCAAGTTCCAACTTGTTAAAACAGGTGCCATATTCGACATCGACATTATTGGTCAAAAACTACATTCAAATTTGTATTAAATTGTCACGTGCCTTCCTCGCCCTGGGATAGAACCTCCGTTTCACATTACTCGCACTTTAGCTACAGTCCTGCCTGTGTACTTGTGTTTCATAGCCACCTTATCTTTTGTATAAATTTTGCTTTATTCCTCATTTTAGGGTGGGAGCGTTGAGTGACTGTGCAAGTGTGACGTATTTTTTCAGAATTTTCGGATATTCGGAATTAGCCATATTCAATTCGTCCGGAAAATGCGCAACTTTCCCTCCAATTTAACCGACTTCGTGCATCCCTTACAGTTTCCAAAATCCGGATGACCACCCTGGTATTTGGGACACTGCACTGCACATCGTACTTCTTGGTGTTTGTGATAATTGTATCCCCTCAGCAATCCAACTGGGATGAAAAATAAGAACTCGCTCTTGTAAAACCTACATCCATCGACTATTGGCAACTGTGAATTTTTTTACGAAATCTATCTTGACGTTTGGAAATTATCTTTTTTGTTCATGGTTAGGTAGAATAGATCACTGCTCAAAGCAAAATTTAATTAGGATGTCTGATGCATAAGTTACGAATGCGTGCCTAATCCTGAAAAATCTGCCGGATATACGACGCTGCCATTTTTTTAGTGCTTTATGTGTTAAAAGTGCTTCCTTTGCAGCTAATGCCGCCTTAAGGCGGCGGTCTAATTGTTGTGCGTCTCACGTAGACATTAAAGGATATTACGTTTACGAATTTGAAATACACATAAAAAATGTAATGCGACAACGTTTTCGCTCTTCGTAATCGGCTAATTAGAGAGTTCCCATTTTTCGTACTAAACGAAGAGCAAAAGAAATTTTGAAAGTGGGTAGGTCTATTAAATCGGCATTTAATTATAACGTGAACACATCCGCTTTAGGTAGCCTAAATATATAGATACGGCAACGCACCAATCTCTAATGCAAAGAATTTCGTGCGCATATATAATAAACGTAAACATGTGTTTAAATTGACAAAAAAAATTGAGATCGTAGCCGTTTCTACATTTAAAAATCTACGGCCGCCTATAAAAAAAATTAATACACTGTACACTACACATCTGGGGAACAACGGAGCCTTTCGAGCTTTAGCAAATCAAGCGAATAGCGGAAGACTGCGATGTGTGGTCGACTTTTTGTCGGCGTTAAAAATTCCTTTGGAGTCAAAATGAGGATGTAGCCAGATGGAAGTCATCCTGCCCGTATATAACTGACGTTTCCGGTGCATCACGTGACTGGCCGTCCGGCTCTCGCAACCAGCTCGCCTAAATACATTAGCGTGTAGTATATTAATTTAAAAAAAAATAATAATAATAAAACTGCATTTAATATTCACGTTGGTCTGTTTTGTTATTAACATTTTTAGATAATATTTATATACAGTCATATACAAGTAGCTTGACGAGCTATTGCGCCTTTTGGCACTACATATCTGAGAGTACTCCCTCCTATACAAAAGCCTTTCAAGATGTCTTACACCTAAACGTCGAGCAGAGGTGCAATACGTTCTTCGATCATAAAAACAAAAGGCGGAATTTGTTACATTATATGCAATGAGCTTTGTTTTTTAGAACAAATTTGTTAATAACTTAGGCGGCGTTTTTGTTTTTATGAGTGTGCAACATGTCATACGAACTTACGAATACACGAAACAACGGGCCGCTTTGATTTGGCATATTTTATAAAATATATCACAATGTGCGCGCGGATAAATTTTTCAGGAACAAACGATTGAAGAGGTTGCGAGGGTAGTTTTATAAAATTTGCCGGAGATCAAGGCGGCGAATGCAATGCAATGGATGTTCTTCTAGTGCCAGTTACATTTAATTATTAATGAATTTTTGCGATAGATATTCTGGTAAGTTGTAATATATGTAGTACAGCATACTATAAAATTTTGTTACGTAAAAAGTTTACATACACACGTATACAACCATGCACACATTTTTTATGAAAGTATAACTTCCCTTTCAACTTGCTTGCAGTTCGTATATAAATGTAATTTCACAGAAATTAAAGAAATAAATACGATACATGAATAAGATATAAAAATGTTAAGCTGTGTGAATGGTATGTATATGCAGGTATCGCAGTAGGTTCGTGCACACAAGTTGAGAGAGTCGTTTTAGCGCACAGGACTAGATAATACTGGAGAGTCGACCCCTGGCGCCCCCCTTCTGGACACCCTTGCTAAGATGTCGTCAATGCCGGTGGTAGCGGCGGCGTGTAACCCACGTGGGCTATCGAGGCGCTCAGAAAATTACAAACTCACGAAGCAGATGGCTTACGGACTCATTCATGTTAACACTAATATATTTACAAAAATAAATTAATAATGTACAAAGTTGCGAAAGAGGTACACAACAGGAGTCGGATGAAATTGTGCTACGAAAGTCGAAGATGCATCACCGAGAGTAATTTATTAATTTGATCATCCAACTCGACACTATCTCGCGCACTAAAGGTCCGGGGTCGTGTCCAGCAGCCTTTTTTCGGTATTCGCGAGTGGCGGCCTACAACGGCATCCCTGTCTGGAGTGTCTCGCGTAACACGCTTCCACAATACGTTTACAACACTGTAAAGGCCAGTAACACCATAAACACGGAAGGACACAAGAAAGCGCCGCCAAACAACTCCACCGAGAAGTTCGCTTCTCCGGGCTGCATCCGCATGGATCGTCCGCACAGGATGCGCCCCCGTCCGCGTCGGAACAATGATAAAATAAACCTTTAACGCAACATAAACACGTCGCATAGTCGATGACGGTGTCGGCGGAACAAAAACAATGGTTATCGCACATCCACCGCGACGGCAGCGGCCTCGGTTGTTGACACGAATCGCACCGACATCTACCACACTCCGGACACATGATGGAAGGTCTTGAAGTGCATTCCAATGGTTCCTTACTAAAAGTTGCGGTCGAGGGTTGTTTTGTAACCGGAGGTGGTGGTGATGGCAACGCCAACCTTGTCGGTCTCTGCGACCTCGGCGGTTGTGGCGGAGGAGATGGGACGGCGGCTCGGATCGGTGTTTCAACATACTCGTTGGTGGTACGTTCGGAGTCGGGTCTTGGAACGGTAAGCGTGACCGGTGGCGGTTGCCGTAGCGGAGCTAGTGGTGCAATTAGAGGTGTCGGGGCGCTCATGATGGGCGCCCGCGGTCGGTGCGCCCGCGGCAGGGATGTATGGCCTCCATGTTGTGCCATGTGGCCGAAGAAACTAGCGGCCTACCCAGGTTCCACCTTGGTCCGTCATCGTCGCCAGCTGCAACAACGAAAGAGGTTATTTAAAGGTGGGCGATTGATACTACCCCACACAACCACGCTACACTCGCTCATAAATATGCATGCACAATATTACATGTTGGATGTGGTTTAGGCAAGTGGGTAGCAGCCCACGCAGAGAGTGGGTGCGGCGAGGATCGGGATCGCGCACCTGGTGTGGATCCGACATGTGAAGAACGCTTTCGCGGACCATTCGCCCTCGACCCTTATCTCATTTTGAAAATTAACACGCAAACATCAAGCGCGGCAAAATTAGCGCAACACACAAATCCCTTTAAATTCGACTATAAAAATTAAAAGGATTGTTACTATTAGCAAACATCAACACACACACACACACACACCCATAGTTCCCAATGACATATTTATGCACAGGTGAATGCTGCTACTAACTCTATAATATCTCTATGTAAAATATTAAGCACAACCAACGGCGCACCTCGATTTGGTGCAACACCATATTTAAACGACATTATTTACGCACAACAAGCCGCATAAAACTTAAAAATTGTGGCCACGAGCCACGAATTAAGGCAAAGGCACGACACTACAATATTCCGCTACGCCACATGGGGAACTGCTTGAGAACGGCGGGCCGGAGAGTGGCGACGGTAGCGCGACGAACGGCGGCCTCCCAAACCATACTTCGGCTTTTTATGAATGGAAGGCAGCCATCATGAATGAAACGGCGTACATTAAAGAAACGAGTTGCGAACATTTCGCGACCCGCACTATGCTTTATGCACGTGTCGCCCCATTCATCTCGGTGAAAGTCGCCCATTATACAACTCCCGCCCGCCTAATACAACAACTGTCATTTACTATTTCGCATTCAATTAAAAATCAACGACAACTTAAAACAATTACCCTCCCCGCTCCCTCGAACCGCTCGCGTGTCCCCCGCCGACGCCCGCGCACCGCCGATTCATTCACGTTCAAATTTTACAATGCCATCAGCTAATTAATAACTGGGCACGTAACAACGAGAAAAGAATCGGGTAGCTCGCCGCCATTAGTCGAACTTATTTTAGAAAACGTACAGGAAGTTTCATTCATCGCTTCCCACACTTTAAAACCGGCACCTCTTCCTAGGTAGTGGCAAATGAAATTTTAATTAAATGAATCTAACGGTCCCGGAAAGTGGAGTGCAATCTGCACCGTGTTTACTTAAACGCGTTGGCAGGACATTTAAATTTGAAGCCACACGGACGCGTGAAATTCGTCTGGAGGACGCGCTATTGTCTTGATTGGCAATTAATTAGCACGCAACGCAAAAGTTATTTTACAATTAACGTAATCACCTTTTTTTGCTTAAATGGCTGGAAAGGGCCTTGCGCTTTCGGTTGATCGTTGCGGAAACAACAACGAAACAGATTGAATTTTCCCGCGTTCCGTATTAAACAAAATTCCCAGATTCGTCGAATTAAAAACAAAATACAAACCTCTCCCCCATAAACATTATTGATCAATCTTAAAATAGTTCCGATAATTAATTCCAAAAATATGGGAGGATCAGCATCACCGGAACAGAAATCGACAAGTGCTAATTAAATGCTAATTTTGTGCTCCAATAGGAAGCTGCGTGCTCTTTTATTTCTAGAAGGTAATGCGCGTTCTGGACAGCTATAACCTATAACACACCAAGTATCCGCAAAGTAAATTTTGCTTACAATTTTAAACCCATTTCAAAATATACTCCTTCTATAAATTGCCACGCTAATCTGGGATCAATTTAAAGAAACGAAGTTTCTATATAGCGGTCGAAATATATTCAGGGTGCTCAGGAACACATAATGTGCCTCTTTTTTCTTTTTAAAAAATGGATTGTACTTCTACATTTAAAAATAACGGGAGTTTGATCGGCAGTATAAAGTTTCTTGCATTATTAATGTCATATTTTGAAAGTGCAAACGTGCGCATATACGATGTGTCGAGTGCGATTGCATGGGAAACCATGTTATCTTTGAAAACTTAACATTCCGAAGAAAATTGAAATATTCGGGCCCAATTCGCAGGTTACTGCAACAATCTTTAGAGCGTTTAATTCTCATGTAGGCGCAAATGCTTAAATTTCCATTATTATTAAAACACATCTTTAAAAATAAGTACTATACAGATTACAGGGTGTCCCATATAAGAATAAGTTTAGTGATAGAAAGGAAATCAATAATAAACGCACATTTTGGAATTTCCAGTGACGTAGCTAACGAAACATTTGGGGTCATTACTTATTTCGTCAACATTTTTTTTTTCATTGTACCATACGTATAGTTTTTTTTCATTTTCACTATGAAGATTTCGTAAACTTTAAGGGATATGATACTGATAAATTTTCCCTTTCAAAGTTCCTTGCAGCCCTACAAATGGTAAAGTTAGCCAAAAAAAAACGGAAAAATGTCATTTTGGAAAATGTGCTGGCGTTAATTTATTTTCAAATACATATATAAAAGATAATTTTAACAAACCACCAAGTAAGCATAGTAATTTTTGCTCAGCTTTCTGATGGTGCTAAAAAAATTGTTATGACTTGTGGGTTTCGAGTAAATCACACCAACTTGTTCATTTCTTATGGACGCCATGTTGGATTTTTACGTCACTCGATAGAGAAAAAATTACAAAACCAGTGATGCAAAACGCTTAGTATTTTATTTGAGAATGGACCTTGAATTTTACATTGTATTTCATATGGCAATAACCATAGCCATAGCTTGCTTGGAATTATTTATGATTGAAACCAAATTCATTAGTTTTTTGTTTCGCATACGCAACACGGCCATGGAATTATTGCCCTAAGAAAACATTGTAAACTTCAAGACAAAAATACAAGATTAATTTTCAAATGAAATACATACTAAAAGCTAATATGATAAAGCCATACGTAACTACTCGTATGTTGTCAGCTACCGGTGTGATTGGATGTTTTTGCAAAGAATGATGTTATTCGTTGCAAAAACATCTAATCACATGCCTTAACAACACCGGTAGCTGACAACATAGTATCGCGTTATAATACCGGCCGTAAGTATTTGGTATCGTTGATTTTGAAATTTTTTTCACCTAAAAATCCGATATGGCATCAATAAAAAATAATAAAAATTTGAGCACCATCAGAAGCTGAAAAAAAATTACGTGGTTTGTTAAAATTATTTTTGAAAACAAAATACAGAGTCACATGCAAAAAAAAGATTTCTTTAATGGTATTTCAGAACAAGAAATAAAGAAGAAACAATAATAAAGAAACTAGCCGTCAAGGTTTTGTTTTTACTATTTCGCCGTTGGAGAATTTTAAGGTTCTGTGTAACCGTTGAGTGAAGGAATTAGGTAGAGGCGCAACCTCCATAAGACAAATCGTGTCCCTTTTATCTCTTACTAAGCATTTTCCTTCTCTATCCAACACACTGAAACGCCGACTAGAAACTTGCCGTCGGGATCTGAGATTCCATAAGCGCTGTATAAATCTCAGATCCTACGTTCGCGACGATTTCTAGTATAGGCGTTGCGCCTCTATCTGGATTTCTTTTCACTCAACGGTGTAACAGTCTAATTTATCGGCTGGTCTTCATAGGATGTATCTAAAAGTACCATAGCCATAGCCAATATACCACGAAAATTGCGTCTTCAAATTACCCTAAAACCCCTGGACTGAATTAGGTCTCATTGAAGACTGAAGATTCTGGGCGCGCAAAAAGAAGGCTCAAAGTCAAAGATGTCGGCTTTGAGTATCCGCGAATGTGTAAAAATACGAGGCGCAAATTTCGTTTTAGGATAAAAAAAATTGGTACCAGATTATGGCGACTCTGGCAAATAAATACGCTGCCACCTTTAGCTATATACATATGCATTTCGTTTATTTATGAAAAAGTCGGCGGCGCTGAGAAGTTGACCGGAATAATTTTGTTTAATAACTCATTTTGTTAGGCCCAATATTTCAATCAAACGGCGATAAAAAGCGCATAATTTCAGCATACCGTAATTTTTGAAATAATTTATACACCACCAAGATAAGGATGTCTATTATGGGCATCTCGGAAACGATAGAAGATACGAAGATGGTCAAATTATAGAAAAGTCATCATCATAAAAACAAACAAAAAATCCCGATTACTTCCGAAGATATGCCAGAAAAAACTAAATTTGCCGATGTGTGTTTTTATTTTTTTCTGATGTTATTTGAACAGATACAAAAAAAACCTGGAAGCCGACCTCTCTCATTACAGACTACGTTTATTGTAGACATCTTGAGACTTGCTCTTGGATAATGACATCATTTAAATATGCTAATACACTGAAACATGCACAAGTTAAGCCCTGACGGTACATTATCAAAAGTAGCAAAGCGGTGACATTACCTTTGATACTGGTACTGGCTATGTCCAGTTTGAATTTCGTATGTAATTCAGTTTATAAATCGGCGAGAAGACAAAAATTATCAAAGTTCTCGTGTGAAATCGAAAGGATTTCAGCGACAGCGCATTTTCGTGTGGCAAAATAGTATTCTATTAGTCAATTTTAACTCCACCACCCGGAAGATCTTGTCGGTACCAACTTTCAACGTTCTGTTCGCCCGCAATTCGCGTAAGAAGTTTTTACAAATCAATTTTCAAAAATGTACTAAAAGGCACTGTTGAATCAAGCAGACTCAATTGGCATTGCGTATTATATCACTCAAGCTATGTCCAGTTTGAATTTCATGCAATTCGGTTCATAACTAACGGAGATATCAAGAGAACTTTCCTTATTTTTGACCTACATTGCCAATTTACGAACTCCGATCTACAAATTTGATAAAGAATCCACCTGCAAAATTGAGAGAAAGGATAAGCGTCTCGCTTAACAACTCGGCGCTAATAGTAAAAAAAAAACACTTTCTCATTGCCACTATTTGAGATATCAAGTACATAGTCTAAAAAAATGGTTATTGGACAATGGAATGCTTTGCCGAGAAATGCACTTTTCGGTACAAAACAGTGTGTATAGTGTACAGTCTCGAGTTTCATGCAGAGAATGCACTGCTCACTACAAGGCTCTACAGTAACGTATTTCACCTACGCCTGAATCTGGGTTCTGTTGATTCTTGATGATTTTGTTACAGGTTAAACAAAAACCATTAAATGATTAACAATGTTATAAAAACCGGTCATTTTAGATATAAGAATAAAAGTGACCTTCCATAAAAAAATTAAGTTTTCGAAAAATCTGACATGTATTCCTGACTTAAGTTCCTGAAATTAATGAGTCTATTTTGATACTCAAATAGCTATTTATATATCAAGTACATAAACTGGGTCTTTATGGATGAGCCGTTTATTTAGCCGAGCGAGCTTGCGAGCGAGGCACAAATAAACAAGGTGAGTCCCCATAAAGCCTATTTATGGACGTGATATATACAAAGAGCTTTATGTACGACTGCAACAAACCTTAAAAATGAAAATTTCATGGAATTCAATAATAATAAACGATAAAATCTATATATCATTGATAACAGATGTCAAGCATTTGTCAAGTATTTCTAAAATACTTGAATTTACCTTGGATTGACACCTAAGTACGACTGTCACATTGACAGGCGGCCGTTTTACTTTTATCATTATGGACTAGGCCATAATATTGCAAATTATGGCCACTAATTGCGACTGTAATCACCGCATTATCAAGCAGTCGTACATATAGGGAATTTATGTGTAAAAGAGGAGATTTTCTAAAAAAATCACGATTCTGTCGAAATGTCGACATGTGAGTACTAGCTAAACGGCACCTAAACTTGCTACAGTAATCCGATGGTTAATATTTATGGCTACAAATTTACTAAAACGTAAATGTGTTA